CAGGGAAGGAGACAGACAAAATGAATAGTTTGTAGTATAGGGGATAGGTTTTCATAGGTTCTATCACTTCAATGTGATCTATAGCTTCATTCTTTATACACTAATGCCCCTAAAACACCTTTCCAATACTACCAAAGTCAGGCTTTCATATGTCAGTAGACGAATAACTTCAAGGTATAGCATTGTGGTACTGCCTGCCAATCAATTGTTCAGCTTTGTTATGTTTACCAATGCAGCAGTGTGTGTGCCATTGTTTAAATATTTTATTAGTTCAGTAAATACTTATTTGTTGCCACAAATTTTATAGTATTTTGCTTTTATTTTTTAAAATTCAGGAAAATAGTGAGATCCAAAGTTTGATAGTATTGATAACATGATCAAGAAAAGGTGGAACTCATCAAGTATACAGAAAGCAGGAATCTTTGGACAGATGACCACGTGTTCAATTATTAAGTAAAACACAAAGTATATTAACCATTTGTGACATTTAAAAGTCAAGTAAAAATGATAAAAGCAGAGAAATCTTTGGAATTATGAACTGTTGATTATAAAAACAATACTAGTGATCCAAATGCAAAAGAACAGTCATGAGTCCATAGGACTCTTGATGAGATAATGCTTATTATAGATTCCTTAATCATTTCAAAATGTCAAAAATGAGAATTTGAGATGGGAAATTATTTGTAAAAATTAGTCAGAATAGGTAAACCTATAGAGATAGAAAGTAGATTGCTGGTTGTCTAGGGCCAGGGGTTCGGAGGAATGGGGAGTGACTGCTAATGGGTGCAGGGTTTCTTTCTGGGGTGATGAAAGTGTTCTAAAATTGATTGTGGTGATGGTTTTACAACTCTAAATATACCAAAAACCATTGAATTGTAAGCCTGTAATGGGTGAACTGTATGGTATGTAAATTATATCTCAAAAAATATATTGCTGATTAAAGATTTAACTTGAAAGGCTCAACAGTTAAAAGATATTAACTGGTCAATATTTAGTGTTAAATCTATGCTTTTCTTGTTTTAAATAATAATGTCCAATAATTCCAAGATTAAAAAAGGAGTAAAACACTTACAGCATAAAACTTTACAACTGTTTTATTCCCCTGGAAATAGAGCATTTTCCCTCAAACAAGTAAACCTATTGTTCAACCTTATACTCTCAACTTTCATATAGATTTTCAGAAATACACATCAATAGTAGATAGGCTACATAACACAGCAAGGCCTGTAACCAAAGTATGAAAAAAATGGTGAGGAAGTACAGTGGTTGCAACAAATTATCATTGCAATTACTACATCTTTAATTAAAGGACTTTCCTATCAATCTTCAACTTACCTTCATCATGACATTTAGTGTATATTTTTGATCTTCCCGCCTCGCCGAAGCTTTTGCTTCCATAGCTTCTTTTGCACTTTCTTGTGCTTGTAGGATAGATTTCTCCCTTATTCTTTGCATCATCTCTTTGTCAACTAAAACATAAGGAATATCAATAAATTAGGATCATGATGAATTTGTTTTACTTAGGAGAAACTGCTTACATACTGATCTGGGATAAGATGTTTCTGGACCCAACCTCACATGGAGAACTGAAAACATATCCCAATATTAAACTGGTCAAGAAGCTAATACTAAAAGGTAACGAAGTAACTGTAATAGCAATGAATTAGTAAAGAATGCATGCCTTGGGACTTCCCTGGTGGCGCAGTGGTTAAGAATCCACCTGCCAATGCAGGGGACACGTGTGCGAGCCCTGGTCTGGGAAGATCCCACATGCCAGGGAGCAACTAAGCCCGTGCACCACAACTACTGAGCCTGTGCTCTAGAGCCT